TAGGAGCCTTTAACCAAATGAGAGAGTAATTGTGGGGGGGACCCAAAAACTAAAATAGGAGAAACTTTTTTGAGAGGGTGTGGGGAGGGAATTTTTGGGGGCCGGGTTTTAAATGATTTAAAGGGGAGCCTTTGCTTTGAACTTTGGGATAGAAAAAGGGGTTTTTGTTATAGGTAATACATATTTTAAGAAAAAAAAAGGATAAATAAGATAAAAATATGATGTAGGGCAAAATGACAGTAGTTTGTTTTGGGTTAGTATTGGTAGTAAAAGACTGTTGAAATAACTTCGGGGTACATGTTTATAGAAAGGGGGGCAGATATATCAGACACTTTCTAGGTTTTAGCACGAGAGTAAAAATTTGATGGGTTTTTAAAGGGGAAAAGAAGCCAGGGAAGAGAAAAAGGTGAAGGTTTATAAACTAAAAAAGGAGGCAGTTAGGGAAAGATATAAACCCGCTATTGGAGGATAGATGGGTAATGAGAGCAAAAGGGAATGGGGTCGAAAGAAAAGGGATGGGGTAGGTTTAAAAAATGTAAAATTTTTAGAGTTTCAGCAGAAGTTTGTGGGGTTTAAAGGGAAAAGGGTGCGGGGGAAGAGGAGCGATTGGGGGGAAAAGATGATGTAAAGGGTAGTAAGGGGGGGAAAAAATTAGCATATGAGGGAAATTTTTTTTAACAAATAAAGTGATGCAAAAAAGGGAGGTATATGGGAAAAAGAGAGAGGGTTTAAAGAGTGTGGGAAACAATGTAAAAAAAAAGAGCCCAAAAGGAGAGTGGGTTTAGTGTTATCCCCAAATTTTGTTTAAAAAAAAGAAAAAATTTTGGGGGTGGGGAAATTTAAAAAGTTTAAAGGGAAGCCTAGAGAACAAAAGGATTTGTTTGTTAAAATAGGAAGGAGAAATTATTAAATGGAGAGTTAAAAGGTAATTTGGGGAAAAAGGAGGGGAAAATTTTTAGGAAATTTTTAAATGTTGATGAAGATGGGGGAAACTGGATTTCGTGTATAGGGCAAGGAGGAATAACATCTTTAGGAGTGAGGAAGAGCCAAATTTTTGAGGGGGGGGGAAATTCGTGAGGCAGTAGGGAAAATGAAAAGGGGGGAAGGCAGCCGGGGGGTTTATGGGATAAAGATAGAAAGTTAAAAAAAACAGGTGGGGATTTTAGTTTTGGAGGGTTGGTTTCAATTATTTAAAAAAAATGTTGGATGAGGGGTAAGGTACCTAGGGATTGGCAGAGAGCATGGGATAGTTCCTTTGTATAAAAAGGCAAAGGGGGGCAAAAAAGAGTGCAAAAAAAAAAAGGGGGATAAGTCCCGTTGATTTTACCTGGTAAAGTGTATGGTAAAAGTTATTATTTAAAGAATTAAAAATAAGACGGAGAATAGGATAGCAGAAAGGGAAAAAGGAGGCTTTTGGAAAGGTAGGGGGTTTTGTGGACCCGGGGGTTTACCCGTGAAAAATATAAAATGAAAAGTATTTAAAATAAGGCTAAAAAGGGTTTTTTGTGGGATTTTTTTGGGTTTGAAAAGGATATTACAAGGGGGGATAGGGGGGGCAATGTTCAGAATGTTGCAGGTGTATGGGGGTAGGGGTAGGTTACCCAAAGCAGTGAAAAGGTTTTTTAAAAGAGGATGTGAGGCCTTTAAAATTAAAAGTCATAGGAGAGGGAAATTATTTTTCCCCGTAAAAGTAGGGCCTTTTAAAAAGGTTTTTTGTGGGTGTCCCCCGTGGTTTTCTTTAAATATTTTAGATGGGGGTTTTAAAAGAAATAAATGCGGGGTCTTGACAAGAGGCCCTGGAGTTTAAAAAATTTAAAGGGAAACACAATAAAGTTGGGGGTTGGGGCCAGTTGCTCTTTTCTGATGGGCACTTGGCTCTTGGGGATTCCCGAAGGGGAAAATTTTTTGAGATTGGTTGGGTGAATTTTGGAAAGGGGGGGAAAAAAAGAAAAATTTTTAAAATGAAAACAGGGAAAAAGTAAAATTTTTTGAGGATAAAAAAAATATTAGGGGATGAAAATTTGGGGTATCGATTGGGGGGGGAGGGAGTATGGAGGAGGTGAAAGTATTCAGATAATTTTGGGGGTGGACTGTCAGCGGATGGGGCTATGAAGGATGAGGTGAAACATAGGGAAATTTAAGAGAGGAAAAAGGGGGAAATGGTGCACTTAGGAGTTGTGGAGAAAAAGAACTTTGTCCTTGGAGGAAAGAGGGGGAAAGTAAAGAGATTTTATTTTTTAAAAACCCAAAACTCTTTATGGGTGTGAAGCATTTGGGGGAGGGAAAGTTGCAGCGGGGGGAAGGCTGGGGGCAGTGGGGATGTTTTGTTGAGGGCAATGTGTGGTGTGAATATAATGCAGAGAATTCGTAGTTTGGAAGTTAGGAGGAGGTGCGGGATTACCAAAACTCTTGTCCATAGGGCTGAGGAAGGGTTGTTGAGGTGGTTCGGACATGTAGAGAGAATGGAGCGAAACAGAATGACTTCAAGAGTGTATCAGTCTGTAGTGGAAGGAAGGCGGGGTAGGGGTCGGCCTAGGAAAGGTTGGAGGGAGGGGGTAAAGGAGGTTTTGTGTGAGAGGGGCTTGGACTTCCAGCAGGCGTGTGTGAGCGTGTTTGATAGGAGTGAATGGAGACGAATGGTTTTTAATACTTGACGTGCTGTTGGAGTGTGAGCAAAGTAACATTTATGAAGGGGTTCAGGGAAACCGGCAGGCCGGACTTGAGTCCTGGAGATGGGAAGTACAGTGCCTGCACTCTGAAGGAGGGGTGTTAATGTTGCAGTTTAAAAACTGGCAAGACAGTGATGGAGTGAATGATGGTGAAATTTTTTCTTTTTCGTGCCACCCTGCCTTGGTGGGAATCGGCCAGTGTGATAATAAAATAAAACATAATTATCGGTTTCTAAATACCATAATAAAAGTATGGTAACTAAATGTCCTAACAACTTACAAGATGCACTATTAGGAACATGGGTCTGTAGTGAGAGGTGTCACAGCTTGAAAAGCCTGGATAATGAAAAGGAAGGAAGGACAAGGGTGATTTTCCAATGAAGGAGAACTCCTGAGAGTCAAACCAGACTGAAGAGACATAAGAGGATGATAAGTGTTTTGGGGTGGGTTGAAATATACAGACACTGATGCCATGTACCACTTGCCCAAACAGACATGGGCTGCAGTATAAGAGAGAATACGAATAAGACAGCTGAGAATAAGGTTTGCATATACAGCAGACTGTTGATTAATAAGTAATCTCTATGACGTTTTCTCTATACTATGGTTGCACACAAGAGGTGCATTCTTGTTAAATGTCTCACTGGGAAAAGTGACTGCAATAAAACATAGCTAGAGACAGGAAAGCCAACAGTGGAATGTAATTTTGGTTCTTGTACACAGATACAAACAGGAGAAAGCTGGAAGAACAACACTTGGAGCTGCCCTTTCCCCAATTTCCCTTGTATCCTCTGATATTCTAATGTAATGAAACCTTAATCAGGAATAGTAAGACACTGGCAACAGAAAGTAGGAGGTATGGGTTCTAGAAGAAGAGGTAGAAATGTCAGAGGTGACTATAGAGGGAGATCCAAGGATGCCAAGCTACTCTGAAGTAGGAGAGTTGTGGAAGTCTTCTAGGAGACGGAGTTAAGTTGCTGCCATAGAATGAGGCTCTCCATTTCCTGAAGGTGTGCCTAGCAAAATTGTATGGATAACATCTCTGGCCTCAGGCAGAGAGGACACAAGTTTCCACTCTGACGACTGGGAGGTTCTGGATGTTCTGCATAAATCCGTGTTGGACTATGTTATGTGAGGCGAGGACTGTACTGAAGCTAGAATTAGAAAAAATTTCTGCGTATCATGACAAGGGTGTCAGAATATTTATGGTAGCATCACTAGGGCATTGGTAGAGAGAGCCGAGACAATGAAAGAAGCAAAACCCAGTACGTCTTTATGGCCTTTTTAAGATACACAAGCCTGGCATCCCACTACCTATCATTTTGAGCAGAGAAAGTACCCCACACAGATTAGCTGGCCACCTTGTCAAAATACATCTCAGCAATACTAGCCACCATTAGCCATGAACACCTCCAACACTCAGGTGACCTTCTCTCTCGCATTTCCAACATGAATATCAAAAACAAGAGAATGGCTACCTTTGATGGCACAGCTCTTTTTACCAGTATACCTACTGATAAGATTTGGTCAGATTTTTAACCTGGAGGGTTAGCCATCCAGGATAGCCCAAGAAAGTCAGTGCATCATACAGGATTGTCTTATTTCCACTGAGGTCCTTCAATCTCGTCCCCCAGGATGTGACCAACTCCAATCTACTAACACCCAGGTGCCTACTTACTGCTATGTGAACAGGGGCAGCAAGTATAAGGAAACATGCCCAGCATTTCCACCCTTGCCGGGGACTGAACCATGGACACTCAAGTGTGTGGAGCGAGTGCACTGCCTACCAGGCCACCTGATGCTGCCATAAATATCCAGAGGTGGAAGCTCACTGATGACCATGACCTCCCATTACCTCTTCTGGACTTTGTCAGTCCAGTGGATCTCTGTGTTAATTTTAACCTCTTCAAGTATCAGGATAACTGCTTTCATGGAGAACCTAGAGATCAAGAAATTCAGCACCCTTATTCCCAACACTGTTTCCTGGATAAGATACACCAATATCTTGGTGGTCTATCCCAGATGTTTTAATATCCAGAGCCTCTTCAACAAAATCAACGCTGACAAGCCATACACAAAATTTACAATGGAACTCGAAAAAAGATGGCAAACTTCCTTTCCTCGATGCCCTCCTGTGCAGGTCTCCTGACAGGGACATTTCTTTCTTCAAAGTGTATAGAAAACCTATCAACAAGGATGATCTTATGTATTTTTATTCACACCATGACACCCACACTGAAACAGGTGCTCTTACAGGCTTCTTCTTGAGCTATTTGCATGTCCAATCTTTGTTTCCTTGAAGAGGAATGCACTCATAACACAAGACTTTACTTGTCTTCAATTTCCATTTTTCTTCATCCAGGACTGAAGATTCAAGGCACAAGCTATCCTCAACAAATTTCCCTTTGGAACATTCCTCTAAACAGTTCAGAGATTCTTGTGTGGTGATTTTGCCAGGAATACACACCAGGTGCTTGCCAGAAGGAATATCAATGTATCCACCACTAATACAGCACATCCTCCTACAAAGACCTTACAGGTGCTCCTCGGCTCACGATGGGGTTACGTTCCAACAAACTTATCGTAAGTCTAATATGAATAGATGCTAAATAAATAAGTAAATAAATATCTATCATTACTGAATAAGTAAATGAAAAATTATTGTAACTAAATATCAGTACTGAAAAAAAAAAAAGTATACAAGTTATGGACTTGCTGCCTTCATGCTGGGTAATTAAGTTTCATCTCCAAAGTAATTGCTTTTGCACCATCATAAAGTCAAAACAGCCTAAGTGAAACCACCATAAGTCGAGGAGCACCTGTACTACGAAGTGAAGTCACACACCTCTAATTTCCACAAAACAGTCCCAAAGTACTGGACACCATGCCATGAAATATCTACGGAAATCAGGCAGAAATATTTTGGTCTGCCTAGATGAACATCAAAGCATTTGCAACAGGGATGACTTGAAGAATGCCTGTGTCCTCCACAGGAACTCTATGGGGCATTTGATGAATTGGAATGAGGTCCCAGAACCAAAAAAGTTTTATAATAAATACAGTGGACCCTCAGTTAACGATATTAATCCGGTCCAGAGAGCTTGTCTTTAACTGATTTTTATCGTTACCTGAATTAATTTTCCCCATAAGAAATAATGGAAATCCAATGAATCCGTTCCAGACACCCAAAGTATTAAAAAAAAATAATTTTTTCACATGAAATACACATTTTCCTACACAGAAAACAATGAGACAAGCAGAATAAATACATAAATAAATACTAAAATGACACTTATCTTTATTGAAGACTTAGTGATGAGATGGGAGGAGGGGAGAGGATGGAGGTGTATTATTGTTTGGAAGGAGAATCCCCTTCCATAAGGACTTTAGGAAGCAAGTCCTTTTCTGGGGTTACCTCCCTTCTTTGTTTTTTAATGCCACTAGGACCAGCTTGAGAGTCACTGGAACCCTGTCGCACCAAAAAGCTGTCCAGAGAGCTCTGTTTCTGGCGTGTCTTAAAGATTTCCCTAAAATGGGACACAACATTGTCATTGTAAGGGTCACCAGCAAGGCTTGCAACAGCTGTGTCAGGGTGATGTTCATCCATAAAGGCTTGCACCTGTGTCCACATTGTACAAATGTCCTTAATCGTTGAAGAAGGCAACTTCCTCCATCTCTCTTCCCCCTCCTCTGAAGCAATTTCCTCAGCTGTGGTCAGTTGCTGTTGCAGATGGTTTTGCAGCTCATCAGTGGCTATCTCTTCATCGTTGTCCTCCCCAACTCTTCCACATCCTTGCTACTAACCTCCAACCCCATGGACTTTCCCAATGACACAATAGATTCCACAACTGCCATAGGCTCCTCAGGGTTAGCCCCAAACCCTTCAAAATCCCTCTCTTGGACACATTCTGGCCACAATTTTCTTCAAGCAGAGTTCAAAGTCCTGCAAGTCACTCCCTCCCAAGCCTTACCTATAAGGTTTATGCAAGTGAGAATACTGAAGTGATCTTTCCAGAACTCTCTTAGGGTCAATTCAGTGTCTGAGGTCACTTCAAAACACTTTTGAAACACTTCTTCGGTGTACAGTTTTTTGAAATTTGAAATGACCTGCTGGTTCATGGGCTGGAGGAGAGGAGTTGTGTTAGGAGGCAAAAACTATACCCCCCCCCCCCCACAATTTGCTCTTGCAAGTCTGGAGGATGAGCAGGAGCACTGTCTAATACCAGGAGGCACTCGAGTTTTATTTTCCAGGAGGTATTTTTTCACACTGGGGCCAAACACTTGATAGAACCAATTGAGGAAAATGCCCCTAGTGGCCCATGCCTTACTGTTTGCCCTCCACATCTCACACAAATTAGGCTTGATGACATTGTTTTTCTTGAACACTCTGGGAGTGTCAGAGTGATACACCAGTAAAGGCTTCACTTTGCAATCCCCACTAGCACTATTACAAAACATGAGAGGCCTATCTTTCATAGGCTTGTGTCCTGGGAGTGCCTTTTCCTTCTGAGTAATGTAGGTCCTGTTTGGCATTTTCTTCCAAAACAGGCCTGTTTTGTCACAATTGAACACTTGTTGGGGTTTTAATTTTTCAGCCTCTATGTACCCCTTAAGCCTTTCAGGGTTCCCAGGCCCTCTCCCAGACTTGTTCTCAGGGTCGCCCAAATTTAAAAAAAAAAAAAAAAAAAAAAAAAAAAAAAAAAAAAAAAAAAAAAAAAAAAAAATTCTTATGAAAAGATAGATAATATTTTCCCGATCATAATGACACCAAAAGTATGAAATTTGATGGAAAACTTACGGAATTATGCTCTCGCGAAGTTAGCGGTCTTGAAGATGTTTACGCATCGGCGATTTTGCCCACTTTGAGCCCTATTTCCGGCCAATTCCAGTGTACTAGTCGACAAAAATCATCACTAGAACTCCATTTTTTCTATCAAATGAGTACAAGAAACCACCCATTTACCAATTTAAACTATCCAATACAGTGGTCAGAATTTAGCAATTTTGCCAATTTCACACAAATTTCAAAAGATGCCAATTTCCAAATAGGGTCCAGAATAAACAATAAAGACATTCCTGGCACTAAAATAACATTTCCTCTGTTCATTAGTCACGTCCCCACGCCCCTCTAACATTCTTTTGCTTTCCACTTTGAATTTTTATTCTCACAAAAAATAGAAGACTTACCGTTATGCAGACTACTGCATTAGTGTAGAAATGGTATAAATAATATCGGCACACTTGTGAAAGAATATTAGACTCACCAGTTGATGTGTATTGGACACTTGGCATGATTTGTTTACTTTTGAACTTTGGTAAAAATCGAACATTTCTGCTACTTTGAGCTCAATTTCAAGGTACTTCTCATTGTAAAACCCGTCGAAATCATCTCAATTTCTGTAATATGTCTTCCATTCTATAAAATGAGACCAGGAAAACTAGAATACAACAATAAATACCATACGAAAATACAGTGCAAAGTCGCTGTTTTAATCCAAAAACATACCTGGAGTTTACCTGGAGAGAGTTCCGGGGGTCAACGCCCCCGCGGCCCGGTCTGAGACCAGGCCTCCTGGTGGATCAGAGCCTGATCAACCAGGCTGTTGCTGCTGGCTGCACGCAAACCAACATACGAGCCACAGCCCGGCTGATCCGGAACTGACTTTAGGTGCTTGTCCAGTGCCAGCTTGAAGACTGCCAGGGGTCTGTTGGTAATCCCCCTTATGTGTGCTGGGAGGCAGTTGAACAGTCTCGGGCCCCTGACACTTATTGTATGGTCTCTTAACGTGCTAGTGACACCCCTGTTTTTATTGGGGGGATGGTGCATCGTCTGCCAAGTCTTTTGCTTTCGTAGTGGGTGATTTTGTGTGCAAGTTCGGTACTAGTCCCTCTAGGATTTTCCAGGTGTATATAATAAATGTATCTCTCCCCTGGTTCCAGGGAATACAGGTTTAGGAACCTCAAGCGCTCCCAATAATTGGGGTGTTTTATCTCCGTTATGCGCGCCGTGAAAGTTCTCTGTACTTTTTCTAGGTCGGCAATTTCACCTGCCTTGAAAGGTGCTGTTAGTGGCAGCAATATTCCAGCCTAGATAGAAAAGTGACCTAAAGAGTGTCATCATGGGCTTGGCCTCCCTAGTTTTGGGGTTCTCATTACCCATCCTGTCATTTTTCTAGCAGATGCGATTGATACAATGTTTGGTCCTTGAAGGTGAGATCCTCCGACATGATCACTCCCAGGTCTTTGACGTTGGTGTTTCGCTCTATTTTGTGGCCAGAATTTGTTTTGTACTCTGATGAAGATTTAATTTCCTCATGTTTCCCATATCTGAGTAATTGAAATTTCTCATCTTTTGAACTTCATATTGTTTTCTGCAGCCCACTGAAAGATTTGGTTTGGGATGTCTGCCTGGAGCTTTGCAGTGTCTGCAATGGAAGACACTGTCATGCAGATTCGGGTGTCATCTGCAAAGGAAGACACGGGCCGTGGCTAAACATCCTTGTCTATGTCGGATATAAGGATGAGGACAAGATGGGAGCGAGTATGTGCCTTGTGGAACAGAGCTTTTCACCGTAGCTGCCTCGGACTTTACTCTTTTTGACAAATACTCTCTGTGTTTGTTAGTGGGGAAAAATTATAGATCCATCGACCGACTTTTCCTGTTTTTTCCTTTAGCACGCATTTTGTGCGTTTATTACGCCATGGTCACACTTGTCGAAGGCTTTTGCAAAGTCTGTATATATTACATCTGCTTTTCTTTTTGTCTTCTAGGCATTTAGGACCTTGTCGTAGTGGTCCAATAGTTGAGACAGACAGGAGCGACCTGTTCTAAACCCCTGTTGCCCTGGGTTGTGTAACTGATGGGTTTCTAGATGCGTGGTGATCTTGGTTTTTAGGACCCTTTCAAAGATTTTTATGATTTTGGGATGTTAGTGCTATTGGTCTGTAGTTCTTTGCTGTTGCTTTACTGCCCCCTTTGTGGAGTGGGGCTATGTCTGTTGTTTTTAGTAACTGTGGGACGACCCCCGTGTCCATGCTCCCTCTCCATAGGATGGAAAAGGCTCGTGATAGGGGCTTCTTGCAGTTCTTGATGAACACAGAGTTCCATGAGTCTGCCCTGGGGCAGAGTGCATGGGCATGTCATTTTGCCTGTTCGAAGTCATTTGGCGTCAGGATAAAATCGGATAGGTTGTGTTAATCAATTTTGTGGCTCTCTCATAAAAAAATTCATTTTGATCTTCGAAATCTCAGTCTGGTTAGCGGCTTGCTAAAAACTGAGTCATATTGGGACTTGAGTAGTCACTCATTTCCTTGTTGTATCTGTGTAGGACCCATCTTGTTTAAGTAGGGGCCCAATACTGGACGTTGTTCTCGATTTTGATTTGGCATAGGAGAAGAAATACTTTGGGTTTCTTTCGATTTTATTTATGGCTTTAGTTCTTCCCGCGATTCCTGACTCCTAAAGGATTCTTTTAGCTTAAGTTCGATGCTTGCTATTTCTCTGACCAGTGTCTCCCT